TTATATAAAATAGCTATGATTTTTTTATAGTAATTTAGAAAAATGTAGAATTTGGATCTAATTTGTTAGTAGATTTTTAAAATACTGACAGTTAAGTTAGCAAAGCATGGTTTAATACAATCTTTCTTAAGAGTTAAGGGGAGAGATTTATATGTAGTTATTTAACCATTCTAAGGAACCAGCTAGCTGGTACTGGAACATTCTTAACTTTGAACCCATTGTGGTTCTGTTAATGAGTGAGAATTCAGTAGGCCATGTCATAGAATCATAGCTTTACATTTCTGTATGACACTTTACAGTTTAACCAACACTTTAACATAGAGATGTAGACAGTGACTTTAGATCATGCTGATTTCTCATTCCTTTCTAGGCATTGCTATGCATTTGCCAAACAAGTAGCTAAAATTAAAAATATAATCTGTAATTGTAGAATATTTTGAAACCATCTGCTTCATGCATTTCAAAACAAATTGCCTTTGTTGATGAAATGTGCTGTATTATGCCTTTTTAAAAACTTTATAGTACTGTCAAGTAATTCAGACATCAGGAAAAAAGTGAAATTTGTGTTTATTTAAATGTATTGTTTGAAACCTATCACTACTATTTTATCTTTAGTTTTTTTCCTTTGTGTTTAACCTTAAATAGGATCATTACACATATCTTTCAGGCACTTAGCATTTGAACAGAGTTTCTTTGGCCTTAAAAAATAATAAATCATTGTCAATATGAGAATGATGAGATTTAATTTTCTGAATTAAATAGAAAGGCATATTTTTAAAACCAAACCTTACAGGAAGATAGGTGCAAGAGAACTTATTTAAGGTGTCATCTCCATGATAAATACTGGTGCTAAGGAGAGTACAAAACTATCAATATTGAAATGTAGCCATTTTGGAGGAGGGTAGGGTGTCAAACCATTTTATTGAGGGGCTTATGGGGAAGAGGGTCAAACAAATGCCAAGGAAGGTGAGATCCAGTGTCCTCAGCCAAGCCAGGATCTACGTAGCCTCACAGTTGTGGGAAAAGTATAGAGCAGTTTTAAATGTTTCAGATATTTCTTTCAAACAACTCAGTGCAAGTATGGCCAGGCAGGTATAGATTGTTAAAATGTTGCAATGGTATTTTATTTTATTTTATTTTTTTTTTTGGACAGCCACAGAAGCTGTGAGCTTAAGGATATTTCACATGTTGAAAAGACTTGATATATTTTGCTTGCCTTATCAAGAATATATACTTTTCAAATTTTTGATACCAATATTAAAAACATTTTAAAATGTTCATCTATCTGGCTTTACCACAAACCAGGACTTGCTTTTGGGTCTGATTCATTAATGCTCAGGTGATCATAGTAATGGAAACAAATGTGAAAAGTATCTTCCTGTATCATACCAGATTGTTTTAAACATCCCCATGTCAGTTGTTCAAACTACTACAAAGATAATAGTAATAGACTGTTGTGTATTATCTTTGAAGGGTTGTCTGTAATTATTGTGTGGTAATTATGAAATCCTAATAATCCCCACATGCCTAAATTTTGATAAGAACTCTGTCCAACACACCATAATTGAATGAGATTTTTAATCTACATTTAGATAGTTCTGAATGTTAATTTCTTACGGCTTCTTACTATCAAAATAAATAAAAGGCATTCACAGACTAAGTGTACCAGTAGATTTTGGAGAACAATTGTGGTTTTTATAAATACACATTT